ATTTTATCTTGCGGTTTGATCTTATGGAAGATCTTAAGAAGAATTGGTGGGAAGTCAACTCTAGATCTCAGCCAAAGTTTTCTTCATTTCCCTATAACACTCATGCAGTAAATATGTTGTGTACCCTTGATGATTTAACACCAAATCAGAGAAAACCAGCTGAACTTCTTATTAACTCTTTTGACAGTATTAACAGTGATCATGGTCTTGGTCGTACCGATAAAATTACTATGTCAATTGACACTGGTGATGCCAAACCATTTCGTCAAAAACCTTTTTTAATGTCACCTTATATGTCAAAAATCTTAAATGAGGAATTAAATGATATGCTTAAACTTGGTGTTGTGGAACCTTCTAATAGTCCGTGGTGTTCCCCAGTGCTTTTAGTTAAAAAACCAACTGGTGAATTTCGTTTTTGTTTCGATGGTCGATCTTTAAATCAGGTTACAAAGTATGACTCCTACCCTATGCCAAATATAGATAGAATTTTAAACTCTCTTCGTGGAGCTACGTATATTTCGAGTATAGATTTGCGTAAAAGTTTCTGGCAAATTCCATTATCAGAGGATTCAAAACCAAAAACTGCTTTCAGTATAGTTGGTAGAGGTCAATTTCAATTCACTACGGTGCCATTTGGTTTGTGCAATGCCGCTCAGACACAACAAAGACTTGTTGATGCTATTTTTGGACCACGTTATGAACCACACATTTTTTGCTATTTGGATGATATAATCATATGTTCACCCAGTTTTGAGGAACATACCAAATTGCTTTCTGAAGTTAGAGACAAGTTAAAAGATGCTAACTTAACTATAAATATAAAGAAGTGTGAGTTTTTCAAGAAATCTTTAAAATTTCTTGGATATATTGTTGGCTCTAATTCATTAAGAACTGATCCAGAAAAAATTTCAGCAATGTTAAACTTTCCTCGCCCTACCACGACGACTGAAATTAAACGATTTATAGGTTTGTGTAGTTGGTACCGTCGTTTTATAAGAAATTTTTCGACATTAGTTTCACCCATTAATGATTTGTTAAAAGGTAAAAAGAAAGGTCAAGGAATTCAGTGGAGTCCTGCCGCTGAAGATTCTTTTTTGAAAATTAAACAACTTCTGGTTTCTGCTCCAATTTTGTCCCAGCCGGATTTTTCTAAACCCTTTATTATAGAAACAGATGCATCTAACACCGGTCTTGGTGGAGTTCTTCTACAAAAAATTAATGACGAAGACCGTGTAATTTCTTATGCTAGCAGATCTCTTACTAGATCCGAGCGGAATTATAGTGTAACTGAGCGAGAATGCTTAGCTGTTATTTTTAGTTTGGAAAAATTTCGTCCTTGGATTGATGGCGTACGTTTTACCGTTTGTACAGATCATTACTCTCTTTTGTGGCTTAATAAATTACAGAATCCTACTGGTCGTCTTGCTAGATGGGCTGTCAGACTTAGACAGTTTACTTTTGATTTAGTTCATCGTAAAGGTTCACATAACGTAGTTCCTGATTTTCTTAGTAGAATACCTGGCGATGATTCTCCTTCAGATATTTCAGATAATGATTCCTTTGTATGTCCACAAATTTCTATTTTGAATATAGATTTAGATCATACTGATGCATGGTATGAGACAATGAAGCGAAAGATTTTAGCTTCGCCTAGTTCATTTCCACAGTGGAAAGTTGAAGATGGTTTTCTTTTTAAGTTTATTCCGGTACAGCTACCATTTTCATCAAATCTTCAAGAATGGAAGAAGGTTGTTCCACGTCCTCAACGTCGTAATATTATCGAATCATGTCATAATCCGCCAACTTGTTCGCATTTGGGTTTCTATAAGACTTTATCAAGACTTCAAGAACAATTTTACTGGCCCAAGATGAGAGCCGATGTTCTTAAATTTGTTAGGAGTTGTCGTGTTTGTGGAGCTCAGAAATCTTCAAATACTATGCCGTTAGGTAGGATGGGAAGAGAAAAACAAGTTAATATGCCTTTTCAGACAATCGCTTTAGATCTTATGGGTCCTTTTCCTAGATCAAAAAAGGGTCATAAGTGGCTTTTAGTTGTTGGCGATTGGTTTTCGAAGTATGTTCTTCTGTGTCCGTTACGTTCATCAAAATCTCCGTATGTTGTGAAGTATCTTGAGAGTGAAGTTTTCCTTACTTATGGAGTACCTCAATATATAATTTGTGATAATGGTCCTCAGTTTGTTGCTAAAGAGTTCAGAGATTTAGCAAAGAAATATCAAGTTCAGAAGATCTGGTATAATGCTGTGTATTCTCCTCAATGTAACTTTGTTGAGCGAATGAATAAAACAATAGGAACAGCTATTAGAACTTATGTTAAACAACATACAGATTGGGATGTTCAACTCTCTAATATTCAGTTTGCTTTAAACACTTCTAAACATGAGGTCACAGGTTTTTCTCCTTCGTTTTTAGTTTTCGGTAGGCATATTCCCATCTCTGGTAATTATTATGGTCAAGTTAAGTTCTCTGAAGATTTTGAAATTATGCCTGGCGATCGCAACTCTTACGCTTCAGAACTCAAAAATCTTTATAGTGTCTTTAGCGAAGTCCGTAAGAAACTTCATGCTGCTTACGAAAGAAACTCAAAGTCTTATAATTTGCGTAGACGTGATCTATCTTTTCAGGTTGGTGATTTGGTTTGGAGACGTAATAAGGTCTTATCAAATGCTGGTGTTAACTTTTCAGCCAAGTTAGCCCCTCGTTTTGTTTTATCTTCAGTACGAAAGAAAATTTCGAATTTAGTTTATGTTTTAGTAGACGAGGATGGTAATAACGCAGGCCGCTGGCATATAAAAGATCTTAAACCATACCAAGGTCACATGATTGACGACGATGATACAGGAAATGTCTCTACTACGTCACAGTAATTTAAATAATCTATTATGTCCGATTCCTTTTTAGGGTTTAGTCTAAAGGATACATAGATTATATTTTAGTTTTTTTAGTTTATATTAAAAAGTTATACAACAATTCGCTTATCGTTTTTACGGATTTGTCGCGAATCAGCATAACTATTGTGTTATTTAGTTTTTTTGCGTATATTTTCAGTATAATATAGTATTTCTATTTAGAAATGCGAGCATATAGCAGTATTTTTCTTTTTCCGAGTATTCTACAGATTACCTAATTTTGAGTAAATATTTTGTGGGATGGTAATTCTGTTAATCACTCATATGGTTTTGTGCCATTTGCTCCATTCTATGACATTCAGTTCACAAGAATCTGAAATTTAAGCAATTCTTGTATTTTGAGAACACGACTTCGTGACAAAACGAAAAGTTGTTATGATTCTGATTGCAACCTAATGGTGAGACATAGCTGACCTCATAACTTCGTAAGTTTACTGTGTATTGGGTATGATTGTGATTTTCTTTCCATATTTGCAATAGCGTTTCATAGGCTGGAATCCTATGTTACGGATATTTTGGGTCATTCGTGACAATCTTTTCTCTCTTCCTTTATATGTTTATCTATTGTGATTTCTATTGTTATTTTCCTTTCTTTTTCTCATACAGGTGAGTTACCTTGAATGGTTAACCGGTGAGCACACAGGTTGTGGCGAAGGTAGTTTGTTTTGGTCACGCCAAACTTACCTCTTATAGTGATCCGTAGCATGGCTTTTGTTGAGGTTCTTTTGTTGTTTGTTTTGTTCTCCGCTTCCTTGGGTGTGAGGGGTCGCATGACTGATTACACGCGATTTGTGAATCTTTCGTTGCCTCACACTAGGTGGGTTGAGTACGGACAATCAGCTTGAGGATTTCTTCAGGAACATCTGCGCTTCCATGGGATTCTTTCTTTCTTTCTTTTCCTATCCCATACTTTTAGGTTTAGATTTAGTTTTAGTTTTCATATATAGTTTATATGAATGTTTTTATTTGGATTATATGGTGATTTGACTTTCCCGATTGTGTAATCTCACTGATTTGACATACCGATTGCGACTTACCAATAGTGACTCCTTTATGGACGTGTGATACACGAAGTTATCATCCACCAAATTTTCATTTGAAAAATCCAAAACCCTGTACAAACTTAGTTTAGTTTTCCTATGTGGTGTTTGGGCGAAAGTCCTCTTTGAGGGCCTTTCTTTTTTTTGGAGGGGGGCAGTGTAGCGTTTTATTTTTCTTTTTATAAAATTCCAAATTTTAATATTGCTGGCGCCATCTATTCGCTAGATGTTAAACTTCATTCAGTACAGGTAGCGGTTCCTTTCCATAAAAACAAATTTCATTCAGTATAGACGATAGAGTTCACTTAATTGCCTTTGGTCATATGACCTGTCAATTCGAAGACTTCCGTTTTGCGAAAAGGAGGAATCAATATCCAATCATATATAGTAAAATATCCAAAAGTAAGTATTAGTTCAGAATGACCTGACGAAAATAATTTACAAACCCTCTCTCAACAGACGAGTTTTTTACTGTTCAACACCAATCTATACTTAGTGTATTACAATCTCCTCCTAGGGAAGAAGAAGAATCTAGAACCTGCGAACAAATAATAAAAAGAAAATGAAGAGGAAATTAAGCGACAGTTTTGTGCTATTTGTCAAGACATGGTTGATTGCTACGAAACTTGTGTGCCAAATACATGTTCACACTTTTTTTGCTTAAACTGTATATTAACATGGAATGATGTACATTATGATACAAAAATGACAACTAAATGTCCACTATGTGGTTTACATTATAAATATTTAGTGCAGTTTCGAAAAGATATAATTAGATATTACTTTGTCCAGAGTATAAAAAGGGGATTAAAATAAATGTGACTATAAATATTTGCAGTTTTATTTCACATCATGTAAAAATTCTATTGATTTGACAGATAAATATCATTTAAAAAAAGTTCTAGAGATCCAGAGATCCAATGTTTCCATCAATAAAATATTTCATTTAATTCTAAACACACATTAGAAAACAACAACACAACCAGTTTAATATATTATTATTAAATATAACCACATTTTATCGATATTTCAAATCATTGCTCATCTCTAATATAAAATTTAAAAAAGAAAACCAGTACCGCGAAGACATATAGGTTCAACGATCTCAGGGTCAACCTGTTAGCTTTGGAAGCAGACCTGCCAGACCTGAAAACAGACCAGTTGCTTGGTGTGCTTGCTTGCAAAAGACGTTCAGTCAGTTAAAAACGATTAGTCAGTTAAAGTTAAGATTAGGTTAGAAGTCGTTGAAAGTTAATATCTATAGTTTTGGTAAGTTATAGTTTTACATATTAATCTAATAAAATTAAGACTTTCTATTCAAAAACTTGTCCAGTTCTTAATTATATTTTTACACAAATAATATTCTTCAAAATTTAACTCGTTATTAATATTAAAATAGCATTATAAAAACACCCAGGTAAATAGATTAACAAAAGATAGATAAAAATAGTCAGTAAATCACTATGGACAAATAAACAATACAAAAACACAACTAAACATTAACTACAGTAAAATTAAAATAGACAAACTATACAAACAAACAGATAAACCACAAAACAGACAACAAAGACGCTAAGAAAACTGTCTGTTTAAATAATTTAATTCACATAAATAGTAAAAAAATATAACCAACAAACACTCAACAATAAAAATAAACAAACAACACGGCTAACAAACAGATAAACCACAAAACAGACAACAAACACACTACCAAAACTGACTGTCTAAATTTAATTCATCATGGATACATGAACAGTAACTAGAGTAAAATTAAAAAAATAGACAAACTACACCGCTAACAAACAGATAAACCACAAAACAGACAACAAACACACTACCAAAACTGACTGTCTAAATTTAATTCATCATGGATACATGAACAGTAACTAGAGTAAAATTAAAAAATAGACAAACTATACAAACAAAACTGACTGTCTAAATTTAATTCACCATGGATACATGAACAGTAACTAGAGTAAAATTAAAAAAATAGACAAACTACACCGCTAACAAACAGATAAACCACAAAACAGACAACAAACACACTACCGAAACTGACTGTCTAAATTTAATTCACCATGGATACATGAACAGTAACTAGAGTAAAATTAAAAAAATAGACAAACTACACCAACAAACACAAAGCCACAAAACAGACAACAAACACTCAACAATAAAATGAAGACAAACTACACCAACAAACACAAAGCCTACAAAACAGACAACAAACACACTACCGAAACTGACTGTCTAAATTTAATTCACCATGGATACATGAACAGTAACTAGAGTAAAATTAAAAAAATAGACAAACTACACCAACAAACACAAAGCCACAAAACAGACAACAAACACTCAACAATAAAAATAGACAAACTACACCAACAAACACAAAGCCACAAAACAGACAACAAACACACTAACAAAACAGACTGTCTAAATTTAATTCACCATGGATACATGAACAGTAACTAGAGTAAAATTAAAAAATAGACAAACTACACCAACAAACACAAAACCAACTAAGTGCCCAATATAATATACAATTTCCAAATTTCTTTCATGATTAGGTCATAGATACAACATAATATTTTAATAATATAAGTTAAAACATAGAATTCTTTTGTAGAACTAAAATATCAACATGTTCAATTGTACATCTTGTGTTAAATCTTTTAATCGTAAAGATAATCTATTACGCCATATGAGGACTGCCTGTAGCAAGTCAAGTTTTTTCAACCGATGGTTTGGAAAGTCTGCTGAAAAAAGGGTAAGACTTTTTCTCACTGTTTTACAATGTTAGTCTTATAAATATTTTCTTTTATAGAGAGATTTTTGTAAAAAAATCGGGAATCGCATGACAAAATATCGATTTTCTGCAGAATCGATTTAAATCGAACATCCATAGTCAAGAACCTACTATAAAAGAACTTGCTTTTACCGCAGACTGCAACAATATTTCAAACGTGCAAGGTGTGTTTGACTTTGTTTCCAACTGTTTACAGGTAAATATTTTTTTTAAAATGGATCACAAATTAATTTATTGCAAGTTGTTGCCTTCAAAAACTTTTCAAATCCTCGTGTTATTTTAATCATTAAACTAAAACATTAAGAAAATATCTAAAACCATATTCAAAATTAAAAACTTTAGGTTACGCGCTTCAAAATGTTGTTGAAAATATTACTATTAATGAAGAAAATGCTGCAGGAATAGAACGTTTAAAACAATGTTTCGATACGTTAGTGGATTCATTTGATTAAATATTTACATTTTTTTTTTTTTTCCATTTCTTAATTTAATTAAATTGAAAAAAATATATTTATATTCCTCTTCTTTCCAAATTTTATTCATAACTTTTTTAAATATTCAAATATACAACATAATCTTATATTACAGAATTAAATTGAGAAAGATGTTCACATGTGTACATCTTGTCAAAAATCCTTTGCTCGTAAGAGACAACCTATCTCACCACTTAAAGAATGCGTGCAAGAAGTCTTCTTTTCTAAACCGTTTTTTGGGTAGGTCAGCAGCTGAAGAAAAAGTAAGACATTCCCATTGTATAATTTTATAAACTAACAAAATAAATTTCATTTATAGAGAAAAATATTGTTCAGAATGTAAAGAACATATTTTTACAAAAATTTGTGGGTTGGTCATCTGCATTCAAACAGTCACAAAAACAACTGTAAAACGTTGGAGGAAAAAGGAATTCAAGTAATAAAATCAGCTTTCAAGGAAAGGATAATATCATACAGATTATCTACCGAAGAAAATATTTTAAATGTTAAAAACTATTTTAAAATATTGGAACAAAAGATTCTACGGGTGTTTGACAATCAATTGAAAAAACATACTTGTATTAAAATCAATATAGAACTTTTTGGATATTACTATAATCCAAGTACTGATAATCATGATGTCAAATCGTTCAACACTCCATTTAAAGTAATTTGTAACAGCAGTGCAACAAAGGATTTGATAGAAGAATTTGCAACAATTATTGACAACAAGGCTGATGAATTCGCAGAAAGGGACTCTGGTAAGTGTTATATTTTTAATATAAATGTAACATAATACATTAGTTTTATTTTTGTTTCAGGATGGATTTTACTAAATCTTCTTTTTATGGAAATTAACATCAACAAATTCAATCCTTTGAGAGCATCATCTTTTATTTAACTTCCTCCTAAAATAGTACGACGTCAATAGTACGACGTCAACATAAGAAATAAGGATGACTACTGCTTCGCATGGTCCGTAGTTGCAGCCCTTCATCCTCCAACAGGTGTTGATTTTCAAACATCATCATACCCACACTATTCAACAGTTTTGAACACTACAGGTATTGATTTTCCAATATCATTAAAAGATATTAAAAATTTTGAAAATCAAAACAATATTTCTATCAATGTGTACGGTTTAGAAAAATATTGTAATAAAATTTCTAATAATGAAGAATATGAAAAAATAATTGGTCCTCTACATTTTTCTAGTGATAGAAAAAATATTCATGTTAATTTATTATTAATAAATGATGATGATGAAAATTTTCATTATTGCTACATTTCCGATCTTTCTAAATTAATTTCTAAACAACTTAGTAAACATAATGGAAGAAAATATTTGTGTGAAGGATGTCTTCAATACTTTGACACAGAACAAAAATTACAGTAACATAATAGTTATGATTGTGATCATGTTAGAATTAATTTACCTTCTAAAGAATTATTTAAAGACAAATATGGAAATGTAGCATATGAAAACACATTAAAATATGTTAATTATCGAAAGCAAATGAAAGTTCCTTTTATAGTATATGCAGATTTTGAATGTATTTTAAAACCTTTGAATGAGAATTATGATGTAGAAAATCCAAATAATTCATATACATTAAAAAAATTTAAACATATTCCATACTCTTTTGCGTATTACATCAAATGTTCATTTGATGATAAATATTCTAAGTTTGAAAAATATAGAGGTTTCATGCATAACACGGAAATCAGAGACAAACAATCCTTTTCTATCAAATTTTGATGCAACAAAACCTAATAAATATATAATGTACTATGATGCAACAAATTTATACGGTTTTGCTATGTCCCAATATCTGCCAACAGGTGATTTTGTATGGTTAACCGAAAAAGAAATAAAAAATCTAGATATTTTTTCAATTTCTAGTACATCTAGCAAAGGACATGTTCTAGAGGTTGATCTGGAATATCCTGAAAGTCTCCACGACACTCATAATGATTTTCCTTTTTGCCCTGAAAATTATAAACCACCTAATTCAAAATCTACAAAATTAATACCAAATTTAAACAATAAGTTAAAATATGTAATTCATTACCAATTGTTAAAACAATGTCTACAAAATGGACTTAAGATTTCTAAAATTCATAGAGTAATACAATTTTCACAATCTGCTTGGTTAAAAAAATTTATAGACTTAAATACCACACTACGAAATCAATCGAAAAATGAATTTGATCGCCACACATACAAATTAGCAAACAATAGTATATACGGCAAAACAATGGAAAATGTGGATAGGAGAGTCGATGTAAGACTTGTTACCGAATGGGAAAAAAATAAAAGAACAGATGGAGCTGAAAATTTGTTAGCAAAGCCATATTTCAAGGACTTAACAATTTTCTCAGAAAACTTGGCTATTCAAATGAAAAAAATACTAGTTACTTATAATAAACCAATATACGTTGGATTTTGTATTTTAGACATATCAAAAACTGTCATGTACGATTTTTTTTATAATTTTTTAAAACCTTTGTATAAAGATAATGTGTCTCTTTTGTATACTGATACAGATTCTTTTATTCTGGAAGTGACAACAGAAAATGTTTACCATGATATGCATAGAATATTCATAAATTTGACACTTATTTGCCAAATAATAATCATAATATGCCTATAACACAATCAGTGGTTGGTAAATTTAAGGATAAATATGCTAGTGAACCCATTGTAGCTTTCTATGGTATCGGAAGTAGATAGCAACTTATGTTCGAGCTCAAAATCCTATGCTTTTTCTTATGAAGGACCATTCTGGCCTTTTTGTACCCAAAGTGGTGGGTGTAAAATTCTCTTTGTCTGTCAGTCTGTCTGTCACTACCTGTCTGTCTCAGCTGTCCTATCTACTACCTGTCTGTCTGTCTGTCTGTCTGTCTGTCTGTCTACTCGAAAATGGTTTATTAAAGAAAAGCTAAAGGTATAAGAAAACATGCTACTAAAAAATCAGTTGCATTTTATCCACTATAAAGATGTAGTAGAAAATAATTTTAAAATTTTTGCTCCATGTATGTTTTCGTTCTAGACTACATTCAATATTTACTGAATTAATACATAAAATTGCTTTGAATTCTGAAGATAATAAAAGATATCAAATTCCACATGATTTTAAAACACTTGCTTGGGGTCATCATGATATTTCATTTTACCAGTGGAATGATGATCATCCAGACCTCAGCATATTTTTTAAATAATATTTAATTTAATATTATTTCTTTAATTTAAACATTTAAACATTTAATATGATTCCTCTGATTGTATTTAGATCCATTAAAAAAAAAATATTTACCTGTAAACAGTTGGAAACAAAGTCAAACATAAAAGCACAAATCTGGTCACACGAACAACTTACACGTTTGAAATATCGTTGCAGTCTAATATATATTTATTAATATTAATTTATTATTCCTTTAGAACTTATCATAATGTATAGATATTAGTTATAGAGTTAGAGGAACAATTATATTTTTTAAATAATATTTAATTTAATATTATTTCTTTAATTTAAACATTCAAACATTTAATATAATTCACTCTGATTGTATTTAGATCCATTTAAAAAAAAAAATATTTACCTGTAAACAGTTGGAAACAAAGTCAAACACAAAAGCACAAATCTGGTCACACGAACACCTTACACGTTTGAAATATCATTGCAGTCTAATATATATTTATTAATATTAATTTATTATTCCTTTAGAACTTATCATAATGTATAGATATTAGTTATAGAGTTAGAGGAACAATTATATTTTATGTATTTTAGTTTTATATGTTAAATGGAATTTAGAATGTAGTGACTAATTTAATTATTTTATATGTTAGATTAATTCTGATTTTAGTTGTTGTAATTTTAATTAATAATATACTTTTATATGGAAAATGCATTTTTAATGAAAGATATACCTACTTAAAGAATACGCCTTTGACAATATTTCATTCCTTATTAACATTTCTTAAGATGTGTTTGGAAAGTTTTGATAAAGATATTGATGATGTTACTTATAAAACCTACGAAAATCGACTTTCTACTTTTAAAAACTGGAATGGAAAAATTGGAACTTACTGAGGTATTAGCTGGAGCAGGCTTTTATCATATTTCATACAGTGATGTATGCAAATGTTACTATTGTGGAACTGAAATTTTATGAATGGTTCTATGATGACTGTCCAATCGAAGAGCATCACAAAATTTCTCCATTATGTAATTTAAATGAATGTCTATGGTTAAGCCAATACAAAAAAAATATAAGAAACAAAAATTCAAAAATCTAATAATTCACTGGAACGTGTAATTTTGATGATATTATTATTCATTAATTTACATCTTTTTTAACATATATTTCTTATGCTAATAAGTATTTATATTCATCTATAGAAAAAGATATTGTCTAATATCATTTGGTAATCATCTTTGAATAGAAGTAAATTTTAGTTAAATAAATTTTTTAATAAAATATTTACTTTCTTTCAATGGCTCATCAAACCCATTTTATTCTCCTTTATTTCATATTTCAAAATGTTATTTTATGTTCATTATCCCCCACTGTAACCCGATGTGAAATATGTTTTTCCAATGAAACAAATATAACACTTGATAAAAATTGTCAGTTTATGAAAGTTGGTTTAATCAATAATAATACGCTTAGTTTTATATATCCCATAAACAAAGGAGAAAATGTTAGTAGGTTTTTTAAAATTTTATATCATTATTCCAATCAAACCATTTTTGATACTAATTGGATTGAAAGATCCGAATTAAAATATACATATTTTCAAAATGAATCATTCAACTATACTAAATTTATTAATGAAAAAAATAATGGATATAACACTTTTAATATCGTTAATCTCTGTTTAACTTTTACAATATTTTTGTATATTACAATTTTAATTATCTTTTTTTATTATAAATTTCAAACAGGAAATTTATACTTTCATTAATCAATTTAATTTAAAACATTGTTGTGAATAGACAATAAGCAATGCGCATGAGTTGACGATATGAATAGGTGGGGGTATGAAATGGTGGGGGTCCGAATATTAAAGTAAGAGAAGAACTTAATTTTATTTAGTTCATTCACCATGTCTTCTAAAGTTTTTGAAAATCTTTTAAATTCAAAAATTTTCTTTTTGAATAAATCTTCATCAAAGTTTGTTATTGTTGGTATAAGTAATCAAGATTTTTCACCGAAAATTATAATCGGTGGAAAAAATGGGTTTTCTGTAACTCTAAGTGAAGAAAATTGGAACAATGTTTGCAGTCATCGGGGAGTTATTGAAAATTACTTCTGCTTTCCCCAGCAAATTAACGAACCCATGTTGAATATAGACAACTTTAAATTATATTTTGAGAAAGTCAACAGTCTTCCTATCATAAAAATTAAAGAAGAGTATTCAAGATATATATATTTGGGATACGAGTCTATAGAAACATTATGGCGATTAAAGGAAGTTGTGGATTACAGGATTTCTATTATAAAGAAACAAGAATTTTCACTTTACTTTAATGTATTCCAAACCAGCATTTCAATACAGGAAGGTGATCCTATCGATAATATTTATCGCATTTTGCAACCCAATCAAAATCCCAACAGTGAAAATGTTTCAACCATGTTGGAGTTCCTGATACTGTACCCGGAGGAATTGGAAAAAAGGTTGAAGAGGAATGAACACAAAAGAAAATATTATGAAGAAATCGGTGACTTTTCAGGAAGAGAAAAATAAACTTTACGTGTTAGTGCAGTGGAATTTTGCTTATAAACAAGCACGTAAAAGTGAATTTAGAACTTATTATTTAGATAGACTTCGTTTTGAAAAACGAATTAATAATTGTAAGCTTATTCTTGATCAAATACTAAGCAAAGAACACAGAACTAAAATGTATTTAACACGATTTGCTAATACTTGTATTTAACCAAATATTAAATAAAACTATATTATATTAATTAGTGGTTTATTTTATTTTAAGTTACATAAAACAACTATACAACATCATTTTTATTAATCCATGTATTAAACTTTTATCTAATCCTAACCATTTTACATAAACTTTTGTTTCCTTTTCTTCTTAGAATTTTTTTTCAACAAGGGTATACATCAGAGTGTTTTGCTTTCTGTAACTCCTGTTCATAAAATCCACCCTGAATTTCCTCATTTCTTTCATCTTCAATTATATGTTCTGGGATTTGTCATCTTAACTTTTTTAATTCTAAATATTTCATTTGACCAATTTGGAGTGTAACCTTTGGAAAACGCCTCACGATACTTGCTTATACGCACATGATCTCCAAACTTTAAATTTAGCAAGTTTTGAATCTACTGTTTTAGCATGAGTAAAGATTGATCTTAAAATCTTCTTTTCATTTTGTTTATTTTACTTGGTTTGGTTTCATTGCAATTGTTGAATGTTTGGTGTTGTTGTAATCCTTAACGATATCTTGTAAAATATTAAGCCATCTATAATTTCCTTGCAAACTAAACATTTTCCACATTCTGGTTTTTTAATGTTCGGTTTACTCTTTCAACTACACTTGCTTTAAATTGGAAAAACGTACTATAATGATTAATTTTTAAATCGTTCCATCAGTTTTGGAAATGTTGGTTGAAAATTCTGTACCCTATCCGTTTGCAAATTTGTGGAGTTGGTTTTTAAAGTATGTAATATGGTTTTCATTGCTGCGGCAACATCCTTACACAGATTTTGTTTTACAGGTTCTGCCCAAACATATTTTGAAAAACACATTTATAACAACTAAAAATATATCTATAACCCCTGTTAAATTTGGAATATGGTTGCATTTCTACTAGATCTGCCTGTAAAGATCATTTAGTCCTTTAACAATTACCCTTCTTCGCATAAATTTTTTTCTAGCAGGTTTATGTAACTCATTAACTACTTGTTCCTTAATGGTTGTCATACTTTTGAAATTTTACCAAAAGATATTTTGTTTTGAGAGTACCTAGTTGTCCACAAAGCTTTTATACGTCTCTATCCATTCTTTTAATTTTTGTATTTGTTCATCCTTATTAGTTTCAATCAAAATTCCATTAATTTTAATTATTTCTTTGACTAGGTTATCTAGATATTCTTTAACTGTTGTTAATAGAAAATCTTTTCTTTTATTTGCCGAATTTTCTACTTCCGTTTCTATTTTTCTTAGTTCTTCATCCAATATTTTAGAGATAGTATATATATTTTGTGAAAGATTTTCTATATATTGTCTAATCTCTAAAGGTACATCAACTAATTTTTTACCATTAAGAGTATCCTTCATAAGTTTACTCTTAGTTTGAACAATATTATCAATATCATTTCTTAGATGTTTAATTCTTTCTTTTTGATTTTTAATTATCACTTCTCTAATTTGAGTGTTCATGGTCTTATCAATTTCATCAATATCAGCATTAATTTTTTTATTTTCTTCTTTTACATACTCTTTCAACGATTCTAGATTCTAGACACATATAGTTCATCCAATTTTAAATCGAACTTCTCTAAACTGGATTTTATTGTAGAAATTTCACTTTTACTTTTATTTCTATCTTCACTTTCCAAAATTTTTTCTGATTTTAATTTTGTAATTTCAGCTAATGTATTATTAAATTGTTGTCTTAGATCTTGTAGTTCTTCTATGTCTTTTTTATGGTTAACTATGTGCATATTTAATGCTGTCGCTGTAATTTTCTCAGTTCTATC